CTCCCAGTGATGGAAGGAAAGCAGCTTGTGTTTACCCATGTGCACATTCTTACAGGTGAGGGCCCCTTCTTTCTGCTCACCGGGTTGGGGCAAAAACTGGGAGGCTGGAAGAAGTCGAGGCCTCGCCGGAGACCCGTGTGGACGGAGGAGTCACAACAGCGTTCCACACCCTCATCGATTAGGGTGTCCAGCAGGTCAATGGGGAAGGCACAGACGACAGAGTTGGGGCCCACTCCAAGGCCACCATCTCTGCCAGCCACGAAGACTCCAAATAACACTTCCTGGCCCTCAGTGATGCTCAGCTCAGTGGCAAGTTGGGAGCCCACAGGAGCTGAGTGGGCTGCTCGCAGCACCGGGTAGGGCTGGCCACCCTCTGAAGTCCCGCGGCGCCGGCGTTTAGGAGCAAAGCGGCAGTCAAGGACCAGCTCCCGGTAGTCGCCCAGCTCCACCTCAGAGGCGCTGAGTCGTGCCAGGCGTGTGTGCAAGGCACCAGGAGCATCTGTCACACTGGCTGGCTGCACAGTCAGAAAGTAGACGAAGGATCCTGCGTGGAAGCTGTGCACATATTCGATATGGTAGGAGGCGAGGTGCTTGGGCAGCACAGACAGTGCCGCAAAGCCTGGTGCAAATCCAGAGACATCAGCCTTGAGGCGCCTGATGGACACTGAGCGTGGGCTGAAGCTGGCAGCCACAGCTTCATCCAGTGAGGATGCCACGTAGAAGTAGGAGGCCTGGCCTTGCTCAACCACAGTCACACGGGTGCCCAGTGGGCTGGCCACACAGTCGGGGCAGTCCTCAGGTCGGTTATGGTAGGCCGAGAAGAGGCAAGCTGGTGCCACCAGGTGCAGGGCTGTCCCTCGGAACTCTAGTTCATGCAGGAAGCAGCGGCCCTGCAGGCTTGAGCCACAGCTGACCAGGGCAGGCAGTGCTGGCTCCAGCACCAGCACCTTTGTGTCGGTATCGCCCGCTGGGCCATGGGGGCCCGGGCCACAGGCCGCACATGTCTGGCAGCTAGGGTCCCCGGCAGGGCCTGTGGCCAGGCTTTCCACAGACTTCAGGTCAGGCCCAAGCACGTGCAGGCGATTGCGTATGGCCACAAACACAGCACTCCCATCCCTGCCGCCCTCGTAAGTCACCACAGCCTGTACTGGGCCGCCAGCGGAGAAGCTGGGCACCACATACTTCACGTCAAAGTCGCGGGAGGCAGCGTAGGGGGTGCGTGGGCACTGCCAGTCCTGGGAAGCCGCGGGAAGGGCAGGTGTTAGCAGCAGCAACAACAACAGGGAAGACTCAAGCAGAGGCAGGAGGAGGTCCGTCCAGGCCATGCTGGGCCCTTGTGACATCCCCATGGGCCTGGGCCTGGCTGGGAGCTCACTCGAGTTCTGGGCTGGTCCAACGTTAAGCAGCAGTGCCCCAGCTTACCCCCGCCCCAGACTCCTGTGAAACCCAACCTCTTCTCGTGCCCTGGGGTTTGAGCACCTGACACCTGCGGACACACCGGCAGGGAATGGAACAGCCGCCTCATCCGCCGTCCAGCTCCCGCTTCAAGCTGGCGTCTAGTGCTAAGCGCCGGGCGGAGCGCGGCGGG